GAAAATTCTATCGTAAATACCCGTTTTCCTTTTGTGAAGTAATATTTTAGTTAATTTTAGAAGTTCGAGCAAATAGTTCTTATTTTTTTAGTTATACGTGATTATAGGACTTCTAATTAGTTTTTTTTTTCCCTTCAAATGTGGAGCTTTAAAGTTCATGATCATAGAATTTACTATTTTTAACATGAAGATGAGATTAAATGTTTAATCACTTTGCTTAAAGCTTAAGTAAGTAGAGACTATAATTATATCACGTATGGATTGTATTTTTCAATATTGGAATAATATAAGATGGGACTAAAAGCTAAGTTTGATTGGATTAGATTTTGACTTTATTAACAATTTTCCTCCTCATTATGATGGCTTTGATTTAATAGGGTTGTGATGAGGGAATTACATGTGATATTCTTATTGTCATGTCATATTTAAAGTTCCTTATCTATGCTTTGAGCATATTATTTGTCTTAGGAAGAAGCTAGCCCTATTTTCTTTGGAATATTATTTATTTCACAATTATTAAATTCATAAGTGATGTTCCAAGCTACTAATTCGTGTATTTCTTATTCATGTGCCACTAGAGAGGTTTAAACTCATTGGAAATTTTCTTTTTTTTTTTGTCCCACACATTGAATGATCATTTTTTATTCAATTTTTTTTTATTTTTTTGTTGTTGTCATTATATAGTTTAATAATCTTTTTTGCCATATTCGTAATTTATGCTTTGTTTGAGACGACTTTCTTTCTGCTATTTAAAATAATTTTTTAGTACAACAAATTCAATTTTTGTACTAGAAAATTGGTTTAAGAAGCAATAAGAAAACTATATCAAATGAAACAATAATTTGATTTTAAAATAGGTTGTAGCATCTTTAAAGACTATTTTCAAGCATTCTTATAAGGGCATCGATATTTGTGTGTAAGAGTTGGTCAAATTTCATTGAATGTAAGCACTATCTGTTGGGGAATATGAGGAGTAAACATCACAATGACGAAACAAGCAAGAAAGTAAAAGCAGCAGAAAAGTAAAGGACACCAGGATTTAATCGTGGAAAATCTAAAATAGGGAAAAACCATGGAGCCTCACCAAATTAACCAAAAAATTCACTATGAAAATTGAAAGAAACAAGTGTGTATCTCTCTTCTCTCTCATTCTCTTATTCTCTCATTCTTTCTCTTCTTGTATGCACCATTCTCAATGTCTACATACTCAGAAAATACAAAGAGAAAGTAAGGTATAACCCCCAAGGAACGTAATCCTTGAGAAAAATAACAAAAATTGTTGTTCAATCAGTCTCGGAGCGCTGCGATGCCAATTTGAGGCGCTGCAATCGCTGTTTGATAATACTGCAACAATCAAACACTCAGCACTGTGACGCTCAGTCTCTGTTTTTACCTGCTGTGATGCCATATCTTGACCGCTGCGATAATATGCTCTATGTCATTAAGTGATGGGCGCTGGGGAACACAACACCGAGACACTTGGGTATGCATTACTGCGGCGTTATATGCAAAACATCTAAACCTAACCAGGGGGGGTAAACCCCCTGGTGTTCACAACAAACTTTGAGATTCGAGACAGTAGAACAACCCCGACTATCAAATTCCACACATAACAATATTGTTGTTCACTTCCAAAGAGTTCATTCATATTCATATATTCTAGAGAATATCATAAAAAATATTTTATTTCATTGAGAAAACCGAAGGCATAGCCCAAATTGACTAAAATAAAGATCTTAGTAATCAAAATGAATCTGAAATCGTTATTTTTTAAATAATAATTTTCAGTATTTTTAAGTGCGTTGAATATAATAATATGGGTGGTCCTATTAGCTGTGGCGAATTTGAAAGACGGAGAGAGCGGGCCCCGCCCGGGACCGGCTTAGAGGCGACAGCCCGCCTTCGAGGCGCGGCACGGAAAGTCACCGACCTAGGGAAAAATTGGGCCCACTTTGGTCGGTCAGCCCATGGGCCGCCACGAATGGTACGAACCGAGCGGATTTGAAGGTGACATGTGTAAAGGCATCAATACGCGTGCAAGAAGATTAGGAGAAGATGGGCAGCACGAGCTTTACGTAGCAGCCAGTGCGGCGCGGGCCTGCTCCCTATGGGCCCTCTTGTTGTCAATTTGGACGCAAAAGCTGTAGTGGGCCGCCTTTGGTATTTGCGTTACGGTTTCCATTGTGTGTGCTGCCCTTGCGGAGATTCTTACGCTAACGAGGTCCTGTTGATTAAGAGTTGACTTGGTGCTTACTTGAGAAATGAGTACTGTACTAATGAGTTAAATTTGAGACCATTTTGATTTGATAGACAATTCATTTACAAAATAATAATATAAAATATAAATTTTAAATATATTTAAATGAAAGTTTAAGGGGAAAATTATCAAAAAAATTTTAAAAATTAAAATCTTTAAACTCAAATATGTCTAATAATAAAAATATATTTAAATAATTAGTATAAAATCTATAATTAATTAGACTCATAAGAATAATTAAATAATATTTAATGAATTTTAAGAAGCCATTTTAACATTTAATTTCTAAAAAAAATGGTTTTTTTATTGATTACTCGTTATGATGTGATGGCTAAGTGTTCATTGACAAATAAATAAATTGAGCTCATAATCTATATTATTTTTTAATTGGAAATTTTTAAAAGGGGAAAAATCAAGGGATCATTAGTCCCCATTGATCATATAATTTATTTTCAAACACTTTTTATATTTTTATTGATATCAAAATTCACAAGTTTCAGCCTTGTCCGATTCCTCTCATTGAGATAAATATTAAGGAATAAGCATCATTATTTGAAGGTTGATTGGCTCTTAAAATGTTTTCATGAAATAATGTTCGATTATACCATAAATCTATAATGGACATACTTCTACACATTTGTGTATGATTCTTGATGAAAATTTTGAGACTCGTAGAATATCAGAGCTATGTCTACGTGCACCTATTTCTTGCTGATGCATGTCATTAACCTTTGCCATTTGACTCCCATCGCGTACACCGAGCAACATCAACGTCCACCATCAAATAACACTAACATCTATCAATCATCATCAATTGCCACTAACATCTATCATCATGCATTATAATCTCATCTTCTTTGTGACTCTCAATCTATACTGAAATTGGAGAGGGTTGGGCATGATTGTCACACCCCCTTAAATTTGGAACAGTTATTACATCCTACGACCGAATGTAGAGGAGCGTTCGGTTTTAGGCAAAAATGCGCCTATACCGAGGTGTACCGAGTTTTTTCAAAAAAACTCGGTACACCTCGGTATAGGCGCATTTTTGTCTATAAACGAACGCTCCTCTACATCCTTACATCAAACGAAATAAAAGTTCTTAAATTTGAGATAACACCTACATAATACTATAAATTATGATATTATTGTCCTAAATTCTTAAGTAAGCATATATCTATAGAAACTTTGCTCCCCTTAAATTTGGAGTAAATTTTTTTGTTTCATCTCATGTAAATTCTTGTTCAATCACTACTATCAAGTCTCCACTTATATAATATAATTATTTTAATAATGCCTAACCCTATGATTTTTTTATCTATAGGATTTCTAATATAAAATATTTATGTTGCTTTGTTAAACATTTTTTTAGTATAAAAAATTTTAATTTAAAAATTTTTTATTCTAAAAAATTGCTTCATAAATAATGAAAAACCGATCCCAAAGGATACCTTAATAATAAGTTATTTTGTGCTACTTCAAAATAAGAAAAAAATCAATAAATTTTAAATCCCTCAAAATTTACTATACATTTATTTTATTTCAAAATAACAAAACAAACTAAACACAAAAAAATAACACAAAACACTCCTAATATTTCCAACCAAACAATCTCAAGTTAACTTACACATATGCAGCTATAACAATAAGCTTGCTCTGTAATAAAAATTATTAAGTAATATCTAATTATTTATTTTTATAGCTTGCACTTTTCTTTTTTACTTGAGGCTAGGAATTCAAACGAGTTGAGTCGAGTTCGAGCTAGGGGTTATTCGAGTCAAGCTTGACTGCTAGATACCGAGCTCGAGCTCGAGTTTGAACTTGAGTCAAGCTCAAAATGTCGTGATTCGTCATCCCGAGGTCCGTTGGGGTCGCGCTATATGTCTTCCCGAGGTCCGTCGTGGTCGAGCACAGTCCGTCGTCGTCGCATTTGTTCCAAGCTCTGTCATCAAGATCCACTCCATCGCCGTCAAAATGTTTCGGATGATGCAACAATTGTCGTCGTCCCGAGCTCGCTGTCGAGATCCACTCTGTCGCCGTCGAGATCTGTTGTCTCGAATACATCCGTCTGCGTCCCGAGCACATCTATCCGTCGTCGTCCCGAGCTCGTTCCCACGAATTTCGCCCAATCGACCGGCTCATCGAGCCGACAAGTCGAGTCCAACGCCTGTTTGAGCTAGAGCTCGATAATCCTTCGAGCTTGAAACTGTGTTCGAGCTCGACTCACGAGCTCGATAAGCTTTACTCGTCGAGCCTATTACCGAGTCGAGTTCGAGTCAGGTCGCGAGTCGGTTTGACTCGGTTGCACCCCTACTTGGCAATAACATCCATTTTTTACTTGTTAATACTATTTAAACAAAGTGATATATTTCAATTAACATACTGGACCTAATATTCCATATTAAATAAATGCAATTATTTTATGTCTACCTTAATTACAATATTTGTAATTTGTGCTTTAAGGTTTCATTTGAGATAGCTTTGATCATTATTTTTCCGTTGTTTTCAATAATTTTTTACGTAAAAAACTAATTTTGAAAGCAATAAGAAATCCATCCCAAACAAAATCTTAGTCTTCTTTTTGAACAATTTTCTTATTGCTTTCTACAACAGCTTTCTAGCATTAAAATTTTTTAAGGCAACAAAAAAGTAATAGCCAAAAACTGTCCCAAACGAAACCTTATTTCTCGCTTTCTATGTTAAAAAACATAAAAGTTTCCAAACATGATCACAGATTCTCAGATAACAAAATTTAAGCCAGATTCTGATAACTTTTTAGCAGGGAGACTTTACATTACAATTGCAAGATATCAAGGAGCCATAAAACAAGGAACAAAGAACTAAAGCTCTCCATAACAGATACATAGCTTCTCAAACCTTTGAAATAAAATAAAAGGAAAAGTCAAGAAGAACAAATTATAGAGCAGGCTTTGTTTCTATGGAGATCTTCAGCTCAGTTCGAGCTTCATTACTTATAGCAGCACAGCTGAGAGTTGGAACTCTGCTGCACAGCCTCCCTCTTGTGAGGAAAAAAATAAAAATCAATAATCTGAATATCTGATAAAATTTCTTTGATCTTCTTTTTATAAATTTATATTTTTTTAACGGAAAAGTACCTGTCCAAGCAGAAAGACAAACAAAGTATTAGATAAGGTAAGCTTTTCGGATTAACAGTTAAGCAATTGAAGGTTTTGAATGTCAAGCAAAGCAGGCCAAAAACTATTAAACAAAGTAAAAAATAAGGATCTGCAGAAAATGAATCTGCAAACTGGGCATATAAATTCTTCTGACAAGTCTTTGCAGCTCAGGAGGACTGTAATCAACTTGAGGAGTTAAGCAAGTGGAAAGATGGATTACCCAATTGGAAAGAAAATTGGCAAGAAGAAATTCACAACAACAACAAAACAATTATTTGTGTTAAATCTCCATTTTCTCGTGGCCTTTCAAAGCTATTCATAGCTGACGGAATCCCGACCAGAAGTGATATTTTTCTTGGTAGATGAAGGCTTCGTTTGGGACGGCTTTTTTAGTACTTCATAAAGTAGCTTTTTAGCACAAAAATTAAAATTTTTATACTAAAAAATTGTTTTAAGAAGCATAAAGAAAATCGTCCCAAATGAAGACGAAAGTTTCCCCTAGGCACTGATTTTTTGAACCGATGTACTTAGAGAAATCTTTGTCCGACATGATCTCTATTTTTCTTCAAAATTTATATGTTACTTCCAGCTTTGTCGTTGCATCGCCGTCATCATCATCATTAAACCTAAAATTCCCTAACTATTTGAGGTATTTCAGGCCAGTGTTATGAAGCCTTATTTTCCATACATTCCTATTGAGTGTTGTCTAAGGTGTTAGAAACTATTTTTTGTAAATAATATTCACAAGTCCTAACCATAAAAATTTAGCTCTACCCTTTTTCATCAATGATCCACTAACACTAACTTTATCAACTATTTGAACATACATATTTTCTACTCTTCACTGTGCATATCCAAATCACCTAATCTATTTTAGCCCAAAAGATTAATTATTTCTATGCGGATGCCGAACGCTGTCCGGAGATCAACCAAAATGTGTCATATCACCCCTTCGTTGTGTACCGCGGCTCGGTACTGCTCGGTACCATGGGTTGGTACCACTGACGTGGTTGCACCTGATTCACCTCCGAACGTAGAGTTGCATTCGGCCTCCGCACAGAATAATTTCTCCAACATTAGGATCAAAGGTCAGCTTCATAACTGAGCCTAACATAAGTGATGGCCCATTGTTATTCTTTTTTTATAAACTGCCCGATATGGGATATAGGATGATAAACCATTTTGGCCATTGTCACTAAATTCTAAATCTCTAAGTCTGAAGAAAAGATGATATGTGCCATAGCAAGTCTCGTTTGTTGGGCAGTTTTCACAAAGGAAGTTTAGAAGCTGTTATCGGAGAGATGAGTACGCCCAATGATATACTGCTGCGTCAACTGTTTTCACAAAGGGAGTTTTATCATATGAATACTTTTATTTAATGTTCTTTTTGATGAGGACATCGACAGACGCTACCGACATGTTTATCGCCGGCGAAACCGCAGAGCGACGGCCACGATTCAACGCCTATACTTTTAATTTAGATGTCATGATGTATTTTATTATTGTCTTGTTTTATTTACTGTTTTTCCCATTTTACCCCTATGGGGAGTTATTTTATCATTGTAGCCCAGAGGGCAATTTAGTATTTTCACTTTGTATGAGTTGAGACCTTTATATAGTGGTCTCTTGTACATTTTGAGCTTAATGAATGTTTGAATGAAAATATGATATTTGTCTTCTTCTTCTTGCATGAGGGCTAGGGAAGGGAGATAGCTCAGGAGGAGCAAACCGCAATACCCACCAATCGTTGTAAGAGTCCTCGATTCGTGGTTACTTCTTCTATCATCGCAATCTTATTTTCATCCATTTTTCCTCCACGACCGCCCCAAATAATTTCTCCCAAGCCTTGTGCCGCCACCTCCATAGGAGTCCACCGCCGACCAATTCCACAAGCCACGGTCGGCCACTTGCCGGCGAGGTCTCTCGTCCGGCCGATCCTTCTCTCCGTATGCTTCAATTTTGAAATTTGAAATTTGAAATTCAATTTTCAAATACTTTCCTAATTTGGAAATCTAATTTAGGAAAGTTTTGAATGAGTCTTAATTTCAAATTAAAAATAGATCGGAGTCTTTATGTTTTTATTTCCACGTCAGCATCCTAAATTGGAACCCATCCACATGGATTTCCCTCTCTCCTCCTCTAGGCATGCCGCCGGCCTCCCATAAGGAGATCTCCATTAATTGCTTAGTTAATACTTGGACCGTTTTGAAAGCCTAATTTGAATCTTAAAGTTTTCCCTCCCAAATTACTTAAAACTGAAATTAATTTTCAGTTTTAAGATTTCAAATTTCCTCATTCACGCCAAGGATGCCGCCGGCCACCCCTATTGATGACCCCCTTAATGGCTCATTAATTCCCCTTAATTAGATTTGAAATTTGAAAATAATTTCAAATAACTCCCTCCTAATTTACTAAAAAAACTGAAATCCACAATCAAATAAACCCTATTCGATGCTGATGTATCGAATAGGGGAAATCTCGTGAATTTAGGGTTATACATATTATTATCCATCGAGGTGTGTAGGTGAAAGCCGCTATCCTCCATAGCTAATCGTATGTATAACTCCATCTGCTCTTCCATCGGCCTGCTTGTGCCGAGTGTAAAGGCCTACGACCACTTTGTCCTACGGGATAGTGTGATCGTACTCTTTGCATTCGAACCACACGAGCGGAATCCTTTCGGAGACCCACAAAGACGATCCATGAAATTTAAGAGAGAGAGAGAGAGAGAGAGAGAGAGAGAGCTCCAACACAAGTGATATGCTCCTTAATTTTAGGATTGAGGTCACAACTAAAAGTTTAGCCTATGACCTTTAAAAGATGCAATATTTATTGATATTTAGACACAACTTTTTTATTTCTAATACTTCAAAAAAGTTCCTAAAATGCATTAAATGTCATCTCTTGTATTGTCATAAACTAAAATATCATCAAAAGTACACAAAAAGAAACTTTCTAATAGCAAAATATTGTTCATAATCATCATACATATATTAGGTGCATTAATCAATACAAACGGAATCACCAACCATAGAATTTATCGTTAATTTTACGAGTAATTTATTTAGTTCTAACTTGATAAAAATTACTTCTCAAATCAACTTTAAAAAATATCACAACATTAGTCATCATGTCCAATATATAAAATATATACCTAACTGAAATTTTAATCATTGCTCAAATATCCACACACATATGCAAACTATCAGATTTTATATGTGTAAATAAAGTGCGAACAACATATGGATTTATATTTTACCTAAAATCCTTTCTCAAAATGTTTAATTGAATTCATTTTATAATATGATAAGTTAAGGATAATTGATGAGGACATCGCTCAAAGATTCAGACATGTGTACCGGCGACGGAATCTTAAATCCACAGCTACGATTTAGAGTCTTTACTTTTGATGTATTTTATCATTTTATGCTTTATTTATTTTGCATTTCAGTTTTTCTAGTTTACCCCCATAGGGAGTGTTTTCTTATTATAGCCCCGAGGGCATTAAGTACTTTTCTTTTCTTTGTTATTGAGACCTATATATAGCGGTCTTATGCTTTGTAAAAGGTTAATGCATGATTGAATGAAAATTTGATATTTGTCTTTTTCATCTTGTGTGTGCACTAGAGAGAAGAGAGCCCGTGGAAAGGGCGAGCGCAACACCCACCAGTCATTGGAATAGTCTGTGGCTCGTGATTTATTTCCTTTCCTTGTTCTTCATCCCTAACTGTCGGCCCGTGCACCTCCTCCCATCGTCGGCCGCAAGCTTCCCTGGCCCCAACCACCGACCATGTGAAAGCCTTCTTTTTTTCTTTTCTTTTATGTTTTGGTATGATTTGAGATTTCCTTTCAGGTTCGTCCGGACGAAGTTGGGATCGTCCGGGATGAACAGTTGAAACATTGGCAACCCGAGAGCATCATCCCAAGACGAAAATAATTATCGTTCGTACGAAGGCAACCCGAGGGCATCGTCTAGGGACGAAATTAATTATCATCTGTAAGATCAGCCTACCGAGGAGATCATCCCGGGACGAACCATGGAAATCGTCCGGACGATCAAGTTCTTTAAGTATCCGAAATAAGATATTTTGAAGAGAGAGAAAATGAAGGGAAGAGGAAGAAATCCGCGTTTTGGGCGTCTTCGGTCCGTTTTCGTCCGTCTTCGTAGTTGGGAAAGTTGATCGACTCGAGGTAAGACACATTATGCTTTTCTCAATTTTCAGAAATATGTTTTTTGAAGGATTTTATGTTTAAGATTTTGAATCCGTTAGCGAAAAACGGGTATATCTTTGCACTAGTAAAACTTTTACCGCGTAACTTTTGGTATGTTGTAGATATTGTAATTTTGCACGTTTTGAGTATTTTCTGAAAATTTTTCACCGGGTATTTTGAATTCTGTGGAGTTTTTATCAAATAGATAAATTATCTGGATGTTGAAAAATATTGCTTCAGTACAATGAAAGTATTGAAATGATGTTTTTTGAAACTGTGAATTTTTTATCCGTTGAATTTATGTTGTCTGCCGTTATACTCTCTGACGATTTTCTGATACGAATCTGATTTTTTTGAATCTAATATGATTTAATGTTTAATGTGATTTGAATGATATCAGAAGGGAGTTATAAGGGGCTGGAATCCTTTGAGATTCTGTCTGTGTTAGGGAAGGGAGGCATAAGGGGTCAGAATCCTTTGAGATTTTGTCTGTGTCAGGGAATATGAAAATGAATTTTGATCTGATAATTCTGTATATCTGATATATTCTGGTGCTATAAGCACAAAAGGAGGCATAAGGGGTCAGAATTCTTTAAGATTCTATCTGTGTCAGGGAAGAGAGGCATAAGGGGTCAGAATCTTTTGAGATTTTGTCTGTGTCAGGGATATGTGATCTGATATATGATTTGAAATATGATTTGAAAAATGTGATTTGTGATTTATACAATTCTATGATACGAATTTGATTCAGTTCTTCTGTATCTGTT